CGAGCCGGGTGGGTGGGTGGGGAGGGAGGGTCAGCTCTCTTCAAAATCTCTCAGAGTTGTCTTTTCATGTAATCTTATTTTTGTAAAGCAAGTAAAAGGTGAGAGAATGTACGCATTCAGGACAAACCGACATGTTTCAGGATTTTCTGGGTTTGTTTCAGTGTGATCTGCTTCCACGTGTGTATTTTCTTCACCAGTGTGTCTAGAAAATTCACAAAACTAGAAACTAGAGACTAATAAATATGAAGCACTTTGTTTTCATTGCACTGTTTTATATCAGATACTTGAGACGGGGCCCTCTGATGTTATCTGGGAGCATGGCTGAGGTTGTTTGCAGTTTTTCCCAGTGACCGAATGTGTACATTTGAGTTGTTCATCACTGATTTGCTGCTGAACAGCTGTTCATAAAGAACAGGGAATACTTTTGTGCAGGGCAGTTGCCATATGGCTACCCAAATTATAACCCCGGGGTGGAGGGATGGCTCTCCCTCCTTTTCATCACGGAGCAGTGCTGGGTGGGTCGCAGACATTTAGAGGAACAGATAAACAGTGGTTCAGTTTTTTTTTCAGAGAGGAATGAGGACTAATGGCATCACAAAATCCATTTCAGGGGAATCACCCTCCTCAGTAACAGTAAACATCATCGACTCTCAGTAATGGTAGATTTTTATAATGTGTTACAATAGTGTTTGGTGAAAGTTGAGCCTGAAGTCACTCTCCCTCCTGTTTTCACCTGGTTCTTTTAAGGCTCTATCAAACTTTCACATTATTAAAAACAAAAACAGAAAACTCCCATAACAGTTTCTCATTAATCCACAGTGTGTGTTTTCAAGTTGTAAAGCTCTGTCTGACATTTCTGTCATCACACAACCCTGATGAAGCGTATGTGTTGTGTTATTTGTTGAAGGACTTATTTGCAGCCCTGTTAGTAGTTCAACTGTACGTGGCCCACCATCTTTCTCAATTGATGCTCAGTGGAAGCACAATATTTCAGAACTATCCTGGAGGCAGAAAAAAGAACCACTAGTTTCACATCAGAGACGCACATTTTCCAATTACAGCCTCACACTGTGTACTACACATTAAGGTAGAGATGTGAGAGAAAGAGGCCTATGTTCTGGCTCAATATGGCAGCTTTTTGCTCACCACTAGGGAATGAAACTTGTATTAAGCCTAGCATTAAATATGTGGTTTGTTTTTTTAAATATGGGGGGGTTGAACATAGTCTCGACATGATGTAGAATTCATATAAAATGTTTCTTTTCTTTGTCTTTTTTACCCTCATGAGTGCAGAGCATGACACAGCTCCAAGATAGAAAGGATCAGGGTTGGGAGGGTTATTTTAAAAATGTATCTAATTCAATTACTAACTAACTGTTTAAAAATGTATTCAGTAACCTAATCCATGCCAATCACAATATTAAAGTAACATAACTACTTTCTGTTACTTTTGAATGACCTCAGTATCAACCTACGATACAATAATGTTTGCAAATAAAGACAAGACAAAAGAAATATCAATAAGATAACTTTTACTTAAGGGCATTCTGTCACCAGCATCAGTAGCTATAATCCTAAATATTTTTCATACTATTGGC